AAGCTCAAGCCACAAAAGGCTTCTCCTCGACCATGCTAACAATTGAGTTGAGGCCAATGGGCTAGACACCTTGCGTCGGGTGTGTATCTTTGGCGTAGATCGACGGATTTGCTTGTTGTTGAGGCTGGAAACCGCCGCCTGTCGAGGCCGATGTGCTTCTCTGTATGTTCCACTATGCCCAATTTTAGTCTTTCGATTTCAAAGTATCAATAATCGTAATCCATGGGGTTTTTAATCTACTCATTTGCGACTTGTGTTCATTTGTAAGACTTCCAAATCGTGATACATTTTACTATTGTTACTTGTCTAACAATAGGCGCCTTTAGAAGAACTATTGACTCATTGACCCCATGAGTGACCTCACCTTCATATATTCAATAATGAGCAAAGAAATGCTTGGTCACCTATTTTTTGATTGATGTGCGACATCTTGTGTTTAGGTGATTTCTAAAATGATGAAAATTGATTTGAGTTAGAACTTTTAATATGTAGTGCGTTTATGGATTAGTAATGAGAAATATGCTAAAATGCTGTTTATTGAACTATCAAAATCCTGTGTGTTTTCAGCGAAAGAAGGTCTATCACCGGCAGGTAATGAAGATGGACTGCTGACAGCTTCTGATGCAGGAGCTTTGATAAGATGACTGTGCGATTTCTATGTTATTACGTCTGGCTTCATACATTGTTATATACTGGAGAAGAGGTAGCTTTACATCTACAATTTGTAGTGCATAGATAGTAATGACCTCTTTTCAGATTGCTTTGTAATTTTGCTTATCGATACCCACTATTTAACTATGAGTTGCTAATTTTGTCTCATTACAACAGTATATAACAAGGCCATATTGTTTATGGAAGGTAAATATCTCTTTCCCATGTTTTATTTCCTTCCTAATCTTACCGTACTCAATAGGTCGGGCTCTCGATTGACCTTTTTCACATATGGGTTACTTGGAAGCTCTCATGATTAAACTACCAAAGTATGGTGATTGGTAATGGCCTTTTCAGTTTGCTTTGGTACTTCTCAAACGCATGTTAGATAGCATATGCTATATTCTTATGTAAATTTATTATTTGCTTGGATTTATATTTTGGTATTCCATTGGTCAAGAAATCATATTGTCACTATGTTTTAATACTTCTATTATCTTTCTTGTTCGCCCGTGTCTTAGAAGTTTGAACCATTCTAAAATTACAACCTGTAATGAATTGACTTATTTCTTGCACCAACTCAAGTATACAATAGTTCGATTATTGACTGGATATAATCGAGCAATACTTATTTGGGAAAAGTAATCGCACAATATTTTGATTAAAGAAAACAATATTGTTTTGTCAACACATACTTAATCTTTAATCAATGGTTGTCACTTTCATTGGGTCAATGCTAGCTTACACCATTACAACACCATTTACGTTAAAAAAATGCAGTTTCGACACCAATAGGTGTATACCATATCTTCCGTGAGAGTGGAGTTAAAAAATATCTTCCATAGAGTGTATATCGTTGTTACAAGATTTTCTATTTTCTTATGCAATATTTTAGTGATCATTACCATGTTTTTGTCATGTTGCTTGTATTAATAATTTTATGATTAGTGATTATTATTACATGCTCACTACAATTATACCCCGGATCATTTGCATTCATTATGTTGGCAAAATTAACTACCAAGCCTCAGAATCGTACAACATATGCATACCATTTCGAGCCCTTGTTTCCACCGATTTCGGACTAGCTTGCGGAAAGCCAATTTTTAGACAGCTTTGTAATTAAGATGTTTCTTTTCAAGATTGGATAAGATTAAATTTTGTTTAATGGTCTTGCTCTTGACTTATGAATCAGGTACACGAAGATGTGGTCAAGACCCACTGTCGTTGTCAAACGACACTTCTGCCTAGCCAATGTTAAGGGATTTGGAGTATAAGTTGATTTTAACTGCACGTCAATCAGAGATTCTTCTATGAGTCTTTATGTTCAACGTCATGACAAACTCTTTTTAAGTTCATTATGGTTGCATGTATACTTCCTACTTAGATGTATTTTTTTTTATTTTTCAAATCTCACACCCTAAATTGATCTACAATACTGACCCTTTATAGTGATGCCTAATGTAGAGAAGTTTTCAAAGATGTCTGATGAAATTCATGGAATGTTTTTTTAAGAATCATAGTGTATTACATGGAAAAAGTTTTCTTAATTTTTTTCTATGAAACAAGAAAATTGTCGTTTGAATTTGACTAAATAATTTATTAGTTTGAATTAGTTTGGCTAAATAGCCAAGATAGGGCGCCCGAAGGGCGCCAAATGTTCTAGTATTCTTGATTCTAGATGATACAAAACTCATTTATGGCTGTCGGTGTGGATGTGATAAGGGAAAGGAGCCAGAATGAGAGTTATAGCCTAAGGCAAACATGAGGGAAAACATAAGGGCATAAGCCCAGTTAATATGTTTTGCTTCTTCCATGCTATTAAAAAAAATCTACCATGTGCACAATACAGTCAATATATATATAAAAAAAAACTCGACCATGGGAGGAGACTCCTCTATATGGCTTTGAAATAAGAAGGTGCCAGGCTTCGAACCCGGGTCGGATGGGAGAGTCCCAGAGCTCACTCCTCTAACCGGTCACACCGCGAGAAGCTTGGCCAGTACAGTCAATATCTCAAGTTGGTATACATGGTATCCCTCTTCCACTCATTGTCTTAAATAAAAAAATAACCTAGGATGGGCTAGTTGATTTCTAATTTTAAAGTAAATAGACACCCAAATTCGAGATATGGAGGACTGAACATGGATGGGCGGTGTACGAGAACTCCCATAAGTGAAGCTAAGCTCAGTTCCTTTCACCATCATCATCATGAGGCTATCAATAAAATGGATAATAATGATGTGGTCTGATTTTTATTTATTTATTTATTTTATTTTTTTTTTGCCAAAGTGCATCATATTAAATACTATGATGGACTTCAGTAATTTATTCAAAACCTTATCCTTATGGTTCAATTTATTTGCCTACCGTAAATGTTTTCCGAGCAATTCCACCATTTTTGGCAGATTTAGTTCTGAGAGAAATGAAGAAAGCAACAAGGAACTTCAAAGACGGTGTTAGGAGGAGGTGAAAATGGTACAGATTCAGAGGACAACTAAATGATGGATCCGTGGTTTGCTATCGGATGCGTTGAGAGTTCACCAAAACAAAATTACCATGAATTTTGTAAAGAAATGGAATTTCTTGGGCGGTTGCATCACCGCATCTTGTTGGACTAAAAGGTTTTTGTTCAACAAGATTTGAGAGGTTAATATCTCGTGTGTAACTAAATTCAGATATCCACCAATTATGGTTGTTACAATTGTTCTGTGATCCGGGTTTCGTATATATGAATACATGGAAAATGGAAGCCTTCAAGATCACCTGCATTGTAATAAGTCATGTTCTATTCTCATATTCTTCTCGATGATGCATCATTTGTTGAATTGTATGTTTAAAATCACTCTGCTCTTTTCAAAGCACTAAGTAAACATCTCGCTACCATGGAAAAATAGGGTCCGAATTGCCATCGATGTTGCTAATGCTTTGGTAAGTTTCAGGAAATCTGTGATTGTTTCTTTCTTTCTTTCTTTCTGCAAGTCGATGAATCGTGATAAGCAAGACTTATTAGTTGTTTCTTACAATTTTGTCAACTTGTGAAAGGCTGAATCAATATTTACCATACTCCTGTCATGACTAAATATATTTCAAATTTATGTTTTACTTTTTATGATGTTTGGTTACAGAGTACCTTCATTTTTATTGTGATCCTCCACTATACCATGGAGATGTTAAGCCTAGCAATGTCTTCTTGGACAAGAATTACCTTGCAAAGGTAATTCATACTGTAACTTTGTCACAATTTACAATCCTATTATGCACATCCCAACTGTTTTGTCCTTTAACAACTTTTTTCGGTCATGGTCTTGTGCACTACTCTAGTAGTGGCAATACAACTCCCAGTTGCACACCAGTAAATGTCAAGATCCAAGCAACTCCTGGTAAGGCTATGTTGTTTATAAATTCTGGTGCCTTTTGCTCTGTCAATTTTTAGATGAAGGAACCAGTATTTTGAATGTAGTCCTGACCTCTCGCATCCAATCGTTAAGTCGAAAGAATAGAAACTGTAGTGTGCACAATGTGTCACCATATGTCCATATCAAACCTAATGTACCAGCTCAAAACCCACATGATAATCCTAAACTCCATTTACCATTTTTTGTTTATGCACAAAATACAAAGTTTCATCAATTATGTTAGGTGAATTACAGACTTCAATCATAACCTCTATCCTGTGTTCTGAATTTGCTATATTAATTTATCTGTATTGTAGTATGATGCTATCCGTTTTTTGTCCTTGCTATCCGGTTTTTGTCCTTGCTATATTAATTCTGTACTTCAATCATAACCTCTGCTCGTTAATTTGCAATTAATGCACACCAATGCAGCTAGCAGAATGTTTCTGAAACCTGAGTGGTTTCAATTGTTAGGTTCAAATGATGAGGAGACATTCATTCACAGGGAATTCCTCTTGCCGATAAGGATCATGACATCATCGTTTCTTTTCAAAACAGCAAATATCAACAAGGCCACCTCTAACCCGTAAGCTTTCATATTTCACACGTCGCAACTTTTATATGTCCATAATTTAGTATATTTTTAATCTAAGTGACCAATACATTTATGGTATGGCACAAATTATAACTGTGGCATTTGAATATGTGTCCACATACATTAATTCGACCTAACACCCAAACACCTAATTCTGTTTGGACACAACAGGAATCGATGGTGTGCAAACACAGAACTATTTCTTAAAAAAAGTAAAGCACAGATTCAAGGGATGTTCCCACTGAAAAGAATCATTCATTTTCTAGGTAGCTAAAACAGATACTCCTGAGAAAATACCTAGGCACAATCAGTATCCAGCATCGCCGACATCGCCTAGGCAGCTAAAGCGAGACTCCTCAAAGAAACACTTCAGCACCATCAGGGCTCGGCAGTGTCGCCATGACAGGCGGTGCCGACAGTGTTTCTGGTATTGGATGGCACACAAGCGGTGCGAGGAAGGCAGCGCATCTCCGGCCGTAGTCCGCAGCGATCACCTTGATGGTGGCTATGGTGAGGTGGATGCGGACGTGGTCAGGGATTGCAGGATGCCGGCCGACCGGGCAGTTGAACTTGCGCCTTCCTGGCAGGCGCTCACCGTATAAGCAGACCATGGCCGCATCATAGGCTAGGGCTGCCTGAATGGCATTTTGAAACCTGCCGATCCACAACTTCAATCGAGTGTGTGGTATGCGGATCTCCATAGCCCACCCACCCCAACGCCGTTGTCGCACGCCCGTCCAGCCCATGGCCTTCTGTGGCCGACGACCAGTGGATGCTGACCCCCTAGCCGGACGCCCACTGAGGCGCTGCTGGGGACATCCCCTCCCTTCTGATGCCATGGCGCTGGTTCGCACGGCTGCTGCGGGCATAGCTCACCGCAATGTGCAAGAAAGCCGAGGAGGCTGTATGGTGGTTCTAAGTGGAGACGAATGGGATAGAGAGGGTGTGGTTTTAAATGCGTGGGAATAGATGTACCAGTTTTGTCGGTGCCTCCCGTTAGTCATTCACCATGCACCTCTTACGCCATAAAGATTTATTGGCACATAAGCCAAGTGATTACCTCATAAAGATTTTTTAACTATGATCATCCCGATTGTGTTTCATCCTCGCAACAAAAGTAAATGGTATTTATTATCTAATATTTTAGCGAGATAATCTGGTTGGAATTAGAGAATGTTTGCTCGAGCCTCCATAGAACAAGCAAGCAGGTCTTTGGTTGGCTTAATTAAAATGCTACGATCACCTATCAAACTAAGGAACCCGGAGGGAGAAGGAGAGATCTCAACCCAATACAAAATACACAACATACAGAGGCACACCACATGTATTTATTCTAAGGGCACAGAGGAACATCGAACAATACATACATGAGACTGCACACACCTAAAGGTACATACAAAGCAACAAAAGGTACACATAAAAGGTACTTAATAGCGTCCCACGGTACAACGACATAGTAGCCTAACATGGGTAACAATATATGGGAAAACACGACCAGATGGACGGAAGGAAGCCTTTGAATTGGTTGTTGCACATGCTGCTTGTCATTAGGGATGGTGTGTTCGTGGATGATTACATAGGAGATTGCTAGGCTAGCACATGGTGCAAAGGCCAACATTTCCTAGAGGCCCCTCATGTGATTGCATCCTCGCCAGGAGTGGAAAAAGTAAGTTAGCGAGCCATTTAAAATACGACAGTAACAATTCTTGTGAAGCAACACAAACCAAGGAGCATGCATGCATACCTTTAAAAGCTCCCGGTGGGGATGTATGTAGGGATGTTCTCCAGACAAGGTGAATAGCTGTTCAACAAGTTGTATATACCGTGGGTCCGGTCCAAAGAACCGCTCTGCACCGATGGACGTAAGAGGAGTCATGAAGAAAGGATATCACTATAGCTTGAGCAGATGGATCCAAGGCGGTCCAAAAGCTCCTTACGAGACTTGAATAGGTTGTCCGCTTTGGATGCGCAGCAGATCATACTTAGTCTCAACAAGTCGGGACCAAGACATGAAGTGGTCCACCTGCTTATACGTTTCCTTGAAAGCAGAATAAGTCAGATCATTAATGCAAATATTCATCCTTCCTATAAAATAGCAGATTGCTTGCTCAGCAACACTTTCTTCTGCCTCATATAAGCTCGTGAAAGGGACACTCTCGAAAGTCTGAACTTCTGGCAGGCCCTTGCTGCCAGCTTTGGAGCGAATCTCAATGCTCAGCCACGCCAGCGTTTTCTTGTTATCCAACTTCACTGCTCCCTCGGTGCGAATAATCGCGCCTATCTTGGGAAGAATCTGTCTTAACATGCTCTTGCGTGATATATCAAGTACAACCGGAACCTACAACAAAGGGACAGAAATATAAGGATCTAGAGTATCTGTGTATATATAGGTGGACCCAATGAGTAGCTACTATATATCAGAACTCATACGCATGATAAGCAAAGTGCACAAATAGAAGCAAAGATGGACCAAATAGTGTCAATGAATGACTGTGCATGATAACCCAATACCATCGTGCTCCATGCCAAAACAACTAAATAAAATAATACTTGCGGCACGGGGGGCTGCAAAGCAGCGAACGGGAGTGGGGGCACGGGGACATGGCCATCTAAAGAACCGGAGGGAAGTGGTGGCACGGGGACATGGGCATGAAAATTAGCCAACGGAAGCGGCGGCAGGGGGACATGGGCATCCAAAGTACAGGAGGGAAGTGGTGGCACGGGGACATTGGCATGCAAATTAGCCAACGGAAGCGCTGACAAGGGGACACGACCATCGAAACCATCAGAGGGAAGTGGCGGGTCACGACCATCGAAACGATCAGAGGGAAGTGGCGGAGCTCCTTCGTTGACGACACTCTTACCCTTGTCCACGTTGATGATGACGCTCTTACCTTTATCCATGTTCCTGCTAGATGAACGACAAGTTATTGTCTTGGATATATATAGAATCAACTGGTGCATACATAGGCCGTAAAGATTTTTTTATTTAAAATAAAACAAATATATGTAGAATTTGATATGCATTTCCGTAATACAAGTGGCGGGAAACAATATATAATTATATCTATGCGAGATAAGAATTCACACCGACACATGCCAAAGTATGAGAAAGGACAAAATAAAATAAGGCTGCTACAAATAACATTAGTAGACTATTAAATATAACATTAAGGCTGCTAAAAATAACATTAATAAGCTATTAAATATAGCATTAATTAGTTGACAGTGCATGATCCTATTCGGTTGGACCACTGCCTGGAACGTGGATGGGTGAACGTTGTCTCCCTAGCTATACCAGGAACCTATTGCAACAATAAATTTGGAATGCTCAATTCTCGACTCGACCTATGCCTTCTTTGTGGACTGCACGGCAGCCCCTACGCATGGAACTTGCCATATAAATAGCCATGCCATATAAATAGCCAAGCTCACAGGTAGTGGAGTAATGCCCGGCGGTGAGCTACACACATGACAAGGATGGGCTACTGAATAAATGTCGCACTTTATTAACCCGGTTCCTTCCTTGGAATGCGTCATTGCACTTTGCAAAATGGTCATGCACACGAGTCAGCAATTTGTCCACTGGCAACATTTTTGCACGGAACACGCATCCATCCACACCATGACGTAACGTGCACCCTTGGACCCATCCAAAGCGATGCTAGTGCGGATGCATGACCCATGAATCCTTGACACATCTATGGCATGAAATAAATTTACTATGCACAACCAGAATTTTACCGTGAGAGGCGTGAAGGACGATGTTCGAGACCACGAATCTCTTGTCACATCTATGCATGGAGTAAATTTACACCGCCAGAAAGAACTTTACTACGCACAATAAAAATTTACAATGCAAAGATGCAGTGACCATGCAAGAGCGCAAAGGAAGGTGGTCCTTGAATCTCTTTTCGCATTTATGATATGGTATAGGTTGTCTAGGATGCCAGTGTCATTTATGATGGCAGTGACCTATCCTAGAAGAGGAACCCCCGAGTCCATTAAATAGCCATTCTTGCAACCGCAGTGCAAACCATTCTTGCAACCATGCTAGGGGCCGAGCGCATTGCAACGTTACTTGGCAGGCCATGCCCACTGCACCACATACCCTGTAAATACATATGTCTGAATTGTCTAGACCTACAGCAAGAAGCTCTGTGTGCACAATGCCGAGCAGACCATGTATCCCACCATGCATCCCACCGGACCCTACAGGTTCTAGAATCCGCCCAGTGTAGTCACCCCTATATAGGTAACATTTAATTGAATAAGCACTCAAAGATATCTTGCAAAATTGAAGAAGGCAACCAGAGATGTGGTACGCAGCGTCACGAGATGTGTTGAGCCTTGTTGATGTGGCCGGGGTGCAACAATACGTCTGTAACAGGGCTATGGTGGTTTACCTTAAAAAATGGCCTGGCGATAGATTCTACTCGCGTAGGTCCAAGCAAGAGAACCTCTGTGTTGCCTGCAAACAGAGGCTAAAGAGCCCATACAAGTTTTGTTCCATTGGGTGCAAAGTATGTAGGTTGTTTTTTTCGTCACATGAGACAACTAAGGTCTGGAACTTGGTAACCATTTCATTGAGTAATTGTTACATAGGAAAGGATCACATCTGGCATGACACATGATGCTGGCCCAACGAAGCGGCCATTCAAGCTGGAGGATGGCGCTCAATCTAGTCGCTCACTCCATAAGGTGGCAGCGACGTCGAGGAACACACGTAAGAGTCGCCCGAGGCGTGCACCATTCTTTTGAGCTAGATACATTGTCCTAGGAGCCTACATATGAGGAACAAAACGGAGAGGCTACTATTTCATTTAGCTGTGTTGGCTTCATGTCAACCTAGGTCTGTAATATATTTAGGTAGGGACCGGCCTACTATATTGTATGAGTCATGCACCGCTGGCATGCTATCCATATGCTCGGCCTTTTTTGCATGCAAACGATGTGTGCCCTGTCTTACTTTCTACGAATGCAATCAAGGAATGGGATATTAAGTTTTCCCATGCTTGTGCTAATACTAAGGTTGGGACGTGGTGGCTTGTCGCCAAATATGTTGTCACCGAATTGCTGATTTTAAAAAAATCTTTCACGCAAATAACTAAGTTCATTTATTTGTGCAGCGAGAATTTTCCAAATCTACCGAGTGAATTTACGGTAGGAACCCGACCAAGATCTAAGGTTGGCACACTGGTTTTTCCCTAGCTATACCAAGAACCTATTGCAACAATAAATTTGGAATGCTCAATTCATCGACTCGACCTATGCTCGCTTTGTGGATCGCCGGTGCAGCCCCTACGCATGGAACGTGCCATATAAATAGCCATGCCATATAAATAGCCAAGCTTCTGGCAGTGGAGTAATGCCCGCGGTGAGCTACACACATGACAAGGATGGGCTACTGAATAAATGCCGCACTTTTAACCCGGGCTTCCTTCCTTGAATGCGTCATGGGCTCACAAAATGGTCAGGCACACGAGCCGCAGCTTGTCCATCGGCAACATTTTTGCACGGAACACGCATCCATCCACACCATGACGAACGTGCACCCTTGGACTCATCCAAAGTCGATGCTAGTGCGGATGCATGACCCATGAATCCCTTGACACATCTATGGCATGAAATAAATTTACTATGCACAACCAGAATTTACCGTGAGAGGCAAATGAAGGACGATGTTCGGACCACAAATCTCTTGTCACATCTATGCATGGAGTAAATTTACACCGCCAGAAAAAGAACTTTACTACGCACAATAAAAATTTACAATGCAACATGCACGGTGACCATGCAAGAGCGCAAAGGAAGGTGGTCCTTGAATCTCTTTTCGCATTTATGATATGGTATAGGTTGTCTAGGATGC